ATTCGTGCACAGTGAGTTACAGGCATTTAAAGGCAAGCAATGCCACTTGCGTTTCTTTTGGAAGCCACTGTATATTAGTTAAATTTTTTTATTGTTAATGATAATATAATTATATTAAAATTTACCTTCTAAATCTCTTAATTCATAAATTATTGGATACATAAAAGAATTGAAATTTTTAGGTTCTTTTGGACCAGGAATAAAGATGAGGGACGAAACTCAAAAAAGGCAATTAATAAACAACCGAAACTATATTAAAATATAGTGAAAGGTATGATGAAACCCTGAAATCCAAAATTAGCTGAAACTATATTAAAAACATAGTAAGGAATATGATGAAATTATTTGGAGGGAGTTTCAGCTGGCATCTTTAACCAGGAATAATTGCTGTTATTAAAAGATTTTCTTTTTTAACACGATTTTTTGGACAAATATTTGCATTGATCATAAGAACTATCCAGTAATCATCTGTCTTTTGGCGAAAAATTTGGTATCCATCAACTAAACCAGTTAATACTACATCTTGTTCATCTTGAAAAAAATTGCTAGATAAAAGTTCTTGATATCTTGTACCATCAAATATATCACAATATTACCATTTAAACCAAAACCTTAATGACAAGTATAGTTAGCACAATATCTCAATTCCTAGGAGCATATTGGGTCTTGATATTGAATTTTTAGTCGGGTTTTTATTAAAAAATAAGCTATTTGACGTCAAGAAATAAGATCTACATTTGATATTGCATTTTGATATCTTGGTATTTCACAATATTTACATTGAATATGTTCCTTATATTGCTCAGTATATGCATAACAGGAATTAATACACACATCAATCCATATCGGTTCTAAATTTACTATAGATTTTAGCTTTTTTTTGATTCGAAATTGGCTTTATTAACTGCTAGCATAGTTTGCCAAAAAGCATCATCTATTAAGTTACAATATGATTTAACCTCAAATAATCTTAGAGCACAAGTCATTTCATCTGATAGTTGATTACTACCTGCTGTATTAATTAATTTCATTAATATATACATGTATATTGAAAGTATTATTTAGTCATTAGATTAAATACCATGATTAACTGTAATAAGAAAATCACTTGAGCTGGAAAATTCATCAATTTCAGAACTGTTAGAAAATTCGTCAACTTCAGAATTTGTTAAAGATTTATCATCTACATATATCCAATCATCAATATCCATAGGCGAATTAAATATACTATATAATGAACTACTACTTTCAGATCTATAAATAAACATATATAGTTAAAAATATTTTGCAAAATATACAATAAAATTTATATTATACCTTCTTAAGGTATCATCAATTATTGAATCAGAACTTGAACTCAAGCTTAAAAGTTCTTCTTATTCACGATCAGATTTATGGTGTCTAGTTCTGGTAGCTTTGGCTATTAAAAGACCATTTGCATTTTTTTGTAAACATTTTGAGCAAGTACAAAGAACTTTAACTTGTGTATTTTTTTCTTCAATACTGCTTGACATTTTTAATATTTTTAGCCGTATAACATTTAATATAATAATACTGTATATTATTGCATTTAGTTTTTAAGGTTTATATTTATAAACGAATGTAGTATATAGCAGAAGGATTTTAATTATGTAATAATGTAGCAATAAATATTCAATAAAAATTAAATATATCAGTACTGCCTTAACGTCAGCGCTCTGTACTTTACGGAATCAATTTTATTAAATGTTGATCATTGTGAAATTACTACGGCTATTAAAATATCTATCTAAGGAATTATCGAGGAGTTTCTATATTATTAAAAATATCATTCAAAAGTGTTCTTTATCCTAATCATCGATTAAACCCTTATTTACATTATTTTAAAAAGGACAACTTGTTCAGAGGATAAATTGACTAGAGACCATTTTGGCCAGTCGTCAATTTGGCCAGAGGTCAATTCGTCCTGTAGTCAACTTGCCAAGTAGTCAATTTGACCTACGCTGATTTTCAAATTTAACGCAAACTACTAACTTTATTTAGCAAACAATGCAAACAATACAATCAGGGTTACTAATAGTTTAATTAATTAATTTTATTTGAAAGTATTACATATCACATATGATGTAATCTAATTGTAACAATATCAATATTATTAATAAACTTTTTTAAGACACGTAATTTTTAAGACACGTAATTACAATGTAATTATATAATTAATATTACTAATAAACTTTCATATGATAATAAACTTTTATATAATTATTAGCTCTTATACTTTAACTTATATTATTTTTATGATTTTTATAGAAATGAAATAACTATATTTATTCTTTAACTTCTAATTTTTCAATCTTAATTTACAATGATAACTACAAAATCTTCAAAAAATTCTGAAACTGAATATCAGTCTTCAAGTAATATTTCTTTTGAAGATGATTCTTCAAGTGTAGCTTCTGATAATGTTTCTAGTGTTAAACAAAAAGTTGGTGAAGAAAATTTAAACAGACTTTTAGCTCGCATAGCTGCTTTAGAAAATAAGAATAAAGAACTTGAATTTCAAGCGAAAAATTATCAAAGTATGCAAAGCAATACAACTAATATTAAAGGCAGTACTTTGGAAAAAAGAGCTATGAAGAAAAAAGAAATATATAGAAAACACAAATCATGCAAAAAACTTCAGGAGTCAAGCTTAGAAGAATCAAGCTCCGTATGTGAATCAGATGAGATATATAATAAACTATGATTTAGCTTTTTTTTTTAATGTATTAAAAATATTTCGACAATTTAATAATTCTTCATTTGAAGGGTAAAAATAAAATATTAGGAATGATAGATAATCCACAAACATGCCAATTCCAAAACCATTATCAGGCAAAAAACAGTATACAAAATTGCATTTGAAATTGAATTTAGATAAAGCTATATATAACAGCTATAGTGTAAGATTAAACATAAATCTAACGCTTTATCTGTTGATCATTAACAAATTGTTTATTGCAGAGTGCTTTTTATAATCTTATTGATCGATATGTGCCTAAAGGTGTTGAATACAAAAAAATTGACAATAATATGAGCCCTTTGCAATAGAAAGGGGGGAAATGGCTGAAAAATTAAAAAATGAACCAATAAGAACATTTAATATAATGTGACTAGAGGAACATTTTTGGTATATTAAGTAGGACAGGTTACATAATAAAAATTTTAAATAATTCAAATAATTCATAAAAAATTGCATATCTATTTATAGATTTAAAACTACCTAATTCATGAGTTGATGTATAATCATGTGACTCATAATTTAAGATTATTTATAGTTTTGCGAATCTCTAAAAGATTTTGCAAAGAAATTTGCAATTCTCTAAGAATTACGCAGATAATTGCAAATCTCTAAGAGATTTCACAAAGAAATTTGCGATTCTTTAAGAGTTTCGCAGATAAAGGCGAATCTCTAAGAGATTTCACAAAAAAATTTGTGATTCTCTAAGAGTTTCACAGATAAAGGCGAATCTCTAAGAGATTTCACAAAGAAATTTGCGATTCTTTAAGAGTTTCGCAGATAAAGGCGAATCTCTAAGAGATTT